CATGAGATATATATATATATATATATATGTGTGTGTGTGTGTGTATATACATGAACATGCCTTTATTGTTTCTGGCATCTTTGATCCGAATGAAGATGCTTGCTAACGTGCCGAGCATCCAAGACGATGCCATCTGGTATCGTAATGCCTTCCTTATTTAATCGATTCAACGCCAAGCGATCCGTTCTGAAGGCTTCCTCTGGAATTTTTCCACCCAATGCTGGTAACACCTGTTCTCGAAAAATCTGCCGCTTTTTCTGCAATAGCAATCTTTCGCAATTAAGCACAAGTTGAATCATTATTTATCGAAATAATAAATTGTAATCACATATTTTCGATTGTTGCAAATTGTATTTAAATTTAATTGTCCTTTATTATTTATTTATAATTGTGTTATACATATTACACCTTTAAATATTAATTATCTTTGAGCATCACCAATTATTTAATATTCTACACGAGCTCTGGCATATTGGCATATATGCCTTCTTTAAAATTAAACATAGTTATTCCTAACGATCTCTTCGCTACCTTCACTAATTACATATTGGCTGCGTTCAGCAGAGAAAGCAGATCAGTGAGCGTTCAATGATTCTTTATTATGATTGGTTTCTACACTTACATTCAACGAAGATCTAATAAAGGACCAATTCACATTGAAAAATCACTGAGCGCTTACTGATCTGCTTTTTCTGCTGAACGCAGCCATTGTTTCATCTTTGAATCATTATTTTTCGAAAAGTATCGATCTGATAAATCTATGACTAATAGTCCTCTTCTTAACAGATTAAAATTTGGATAAATAAATTTATTATAATTTATATGTACATTGCGTTTGAATGTTTTGAAAAATTATTTAGATGTCTTACACGACAATCGTTATTGAACTCTGTAACGTATTGAAACGCTTATCATCGTAGAAACAACGAGTTAATCTATTATACAAAAAGCAAAAGATTGCACTTCTATTTATTATTATATTTATTATATACATTTTTTTACGTTTTTATGTTATAAAGTAACTGAATGACGCGAGAAAAAAATGCATGTTGATATAATTTAATAATTATAAATAACTGTTAGATTTTTGAAGAAATTTTTGTGATATGAGAGTTATGAGAATTTTATTATTAGAGAGAAATCACTATTTTAATTCAATTTATTGCAAATTTTTTTGCTACTTTGGGGAAAGATTGTGGGAAAAATTGCTTATGATCATCAATTACCTTAATCTTTTCTGCATTAACATGTCTCGAAAAAATCATGAATGTCAAAATTATCAACAACAATCGAGACCAATAACTTTGTTTGCTTATTTTCATAGTGATGTTACACGTCTCATCTGTCGTTTGCAGTTATATCGTCTGACACACTCTTTTAATGGATCTGCTTTAATCTGAAATATAAAGATCATGTTTTGTAGAAGACGATCTTCTTTGTAGTCGAAAAGTAACGTGTTATTTGTAACGTTATTGTCATTACATTTTAATATTATTATATTTTTTATTAATAATTTTTATTACTAACGCAATTTAATATTAAATTTTTTGGGTAACGATAAAAAAATATAATCAAATATAATCATTTGTACAATTATTATTACATTTTATATATAAAACAGATATATAAAGCGAGTATCTGAAATTTGATGAAGAAGTAAGAGAAATTGTAATTTCGATTTATTACTTCTTGAGCAATAATAACGATAATAATGAATTATTTTCTAAAAGTAATTTTTTAAACTTTATTTTGTTGTTGTTGTCCGCGTTATTATCGAGTCACTTTGGTCTTTTTTCTTTTTCCTCTTTTGTTTGCCTCTTTAATATTCTTACACAATTTTTGAAATACTTTTATCATTATTTAACAAATTTCATGTGTACTGCATTTTAATTTGAAAATTGACGTATTATAAAAAAGGAGATTTATTATATATAAAATAGTATGTTTAAACGTTATACACGTAATGTATATAAAAAAATTGAAACGCTTTCACAAATTATCGCACATGTAATATTTTAGTATGTTTATCTGAAAACAGTATGTTTATCTTGAAAATGTATGTATGTGACTTGTGTGCGTTGTGTAACGCGAATACGCGCAACTGACATGTACAGACTAGAGTAGTAATGCTTGTGCGAAGATTATTTGGCTGTATTTCCATCACGGCTGTGATTCATCATTGTCGGAAATTATATAATGCATTTGTTTAACTATTCATCTGTTAATTTACTTTTCTCATACGATTACGAATAAGTGTACCAGCATATTAATGTAAATTACATGAGATAATAAACGTTGCGTAAATTTGCTTGTAATTGTATTGTGTTATATTTTCTCACACTCGTAAGCTCAATTCTCACACTCGTAACATTTTACGTATACGTAAATTTAATAGTATAAGTAAGAATTTTTTTCCCCTCACGAATTTATTTTAATTACTTTATTAAGATAAAACATTAAATTATTTATAACGGCGGATTGCGCGTAAATAAGTTAACATAAAATCATTTTTCAAGTATAGAATGTTAGTGATTAATTTTACAATAAGGAATGGTTTATACATCAATCTGTTTTCAATAACATATTGAGTAATAACATTTTATACGATAAAAGCGACTTATCAAGCTATTATTATACAAATGGATCTTGCTATCTGGCGTGTATCATTATACAACAGACAGCAGAATAGACAGCAGACAACTTTGAAACGTATCTTATTTAGAAATCATATTCTATAAAGCTGATTCAAAATAATATCGATATGTCCTTCAAGGGACATATTCCTAATCATATTCTGAGACGACTTTTCCTTTGACAAAAATTTATCCAGAGCTCAGTTTTTAAGTTATAAAGAGAAACAGCATAGAAACAGCATAGGTAGAGAAGGTAAGCAGGGGCGACTCAATTCACCGTTACACGTGAGTGTTTACGTGAGGCGCCTACCACGATCAGCTGACATAAAATAGAGAGAGTACATGCATACATTTATGCGTACTTACTATGCGTATGCATGTACTCTCTCTATTTTTGTGTCAGCTGATCACGGTGGACGCTTCTCTCACAGCAATTCTCCCAATTCTTTTGCACTGCGTATATATTAAAAAAATTAAAAATAACGACACGTAATTCGTGATATAAGCAAAAATTAATTTCGAATTTATACATATAAATTCGATAAAAAAAGAATTGTTAAACTCTTAAGGCCGAGTTCGCCGAGAGTTGCCTTCTTTATTCTTTAATTATAAAATACATATGTTTTTGATTTGACAAAGTTGTATGTTTAATAAAATTATAAAAAAATAATATCAAGTTAATTGTATAAAATAATGACTGGTACTTTATAACTTAATTATAAAAATATCTTTGTCTACAGTAACCGATGATCGTGGTGGCAATTATAACGAAAGGAGATGAAAGGATTTACTTTCTACACGATCTGAGACTAATTGTCGCAAGCGGTGGACGTAAACAATTTTGCTATCGAGGATGTTTCTTACACAGATAGATTTAATTTTAATGCATTTGTTATGGTTGAGTGCATTTGTTTGCAATTGACTTTACTTTTCCTTTTACTATATTGCAATATCGTTATACATGATGCTTTTATTTATACGAGTATTATTTCAGCCAGAAATGTCAATGTCGATCGAAATATCAAAAATTACGTTTTCTATATTCTGTTTTCTAATTGAAACCAACATTTAACTTTTAACATTTTGATCAGATTTCATTTAATGTATATATAGTGAATATTTTAATTTCAACTCTGTACTTTTATATCTTATAACTGATATTTTTTGATGCATAAAAAGTAGACTTTAAATAGAAAGAATCTAATTTTACATGCTCAATTTGTGTGATTGTGCTATATATTCGCATCGTGTAAATCAAAATTGTAAGGATCATTTTGATGCATGTTTAACAAATATAGTGCATTTTATTCAATGATAAAAACGACATTAATATAAATATGTCACATAATGACATTTCATTATAAGATGTATTTTTTTCACATTCTTCAAAACTCGTATTGATTTTGCAAGATTTACATTTAATTTTGAGTTTGCTTTAATTTTATAAATATATATATATATATATATATATATATATATTATTATATATATATATATAT